AAAGTGCAATAAAAAACTATTATTATGGTGTAAGTATTCTTATTTGTGTGAATATTTAATATCGGACTTAACCTAACCTAATCTAATCTTTCTACCTTTTGCATCAACTGTCATCAGCTTATTGGTCAAGAGCACTTATATTGAATTAAAATGGCGGTGGTTACCTAACCCAACCGACGCAATGTCGCATCTCTGTTTTCTAGGCCTCTAGCTATAAACATAATCAGTAAGCGAATTGACCAATCACAGGTGAGAACGTAAGCGGCCGCCGCTTACGGTCCATTTGATGCAACAAATACTTCGAAGCATTTTTTGATTGGTCAATTAATAGAATTCTTTCTTCCGATTGGTCAATCAAAAGTTTCGTAGCATTTATCGCTCCAAGTGGACCGCACCCCTTACCTCTAAAATTCTATAATATGCGTAACGTAAACTATACCATGTTAAGCCCGACCTACAATTGAGTAAACGTAGTTGTAAGCGGTGTAGTGGCAAGAATTTACCAATCACAGTCGAATATTCTCCTCGTATTCAACTGTGATTAGCCAATTCTTACCATTACAACCACTTACAACTACGTTTACACGTAGAATGGGCTTTAGAGTCGTTAGTTAGCATCTAATATCGTTATAAGCGCGTTCTGTTCTAAATACGAGCCATAAACTACAAAATCGTAATTTGAAGATCGTATTACTTTTTTAGTTTCTTATATATTATTCAAATATAGGGACACTACTTTTTGATTGAATATATACAACTACTTGTGCTCCAAAGTTCAACTCTGTCACTTCGAGTATCTTTTATCTTTATTCAACATTCGGTGAACAACAAGGATAAAATGATACTCGGATTGATCGAATTAAATTTTGGAACGCATTGTAGGAATCATTTATATATGGAGAAATAATTGACGTAGTGTAACACGAAACTGTAATTTACAATTTTCATTTGATTTTTCCTACAGGTTTGTTTTCTCATAGTTATTCACGCCTTTCCTTTTATTCTTTGGAGAAGGATTTTTTATTCTTTATAATAAAAATGAACAAAGAAAAATATAAAATATGACACACAAGATACAACTCCAACATTCATTATACATATTTATTACGTCTATGGTCGCCACATAAGCAAACGTCATGAGGTTTGTTATGGCCGATTTTTTTATATTTTTTACTTTTGCTCCATCTTATTCTTTATAATATCTAATTATACATCTCTCATTTTTGATGCAGGAACTTAATAATACTTAATAGTGTATTGCAAAGAGCAAATACATCCTACACTTACATTCTACATATAGAACCTAAGTAGCACACCAAAGAGAAACCTCTCTGGTAGCACTAGGTAGCACCTGGGAGCAAAGGACATCCATGGCATACATAGTGATGCGAAGTAACGAGGTGGGGAGAGGGTCAACCAGTGGATGACGAAGCAGATTGCTCGGAGTCCACAAGCTCAAAAAAAATTAAAGCAATTAGGAACAGTCAGTCGCACGCTGGAAACCTCCACAAGACGTAGTGATATACGATATGATATATCTTTCTTACCTAAGAGGTTAGCTCAGTGCGATGGTTCTAGGTGACGTTGACCACCGATAATCAAACTCAAGACGCGATGGCAACAGGTAAGCGACGTAGCATCCACACATCGTCCGGGAACACCGGCTCGTCTGGTTACCCCGGCAGCGGTTTGCGCTCGAACAGCCGAATGAACTTCCGGCCGAGCAACACACAACAGGAAGACCGTGGTGGCACTCGACCGACCGCGGCACCGAGCTCGATCGGCCTCATCCTGGTCACTATGCTGCTGCACGTTTGCAAGAAGTCGCTGCTGTTCGACACCCGGCTCAAGGTGGCTGTCTACTGTGGCATGATATTCACGGTCTCCCTGATTGCAGATTTCATCGCAATGCCACGCACATATTTCTCCAGATCCGACAACGTCCTGAATCAGTACTTCGTCAAATGGGGCTGGGGCTGGTTGCTATCTGTAATCGTACCCTGGGTCGTCCTGACAGCTCACACCCTGGGTTGTGGCCGTCGACCGATCCTGATGAGACACTTTGCCCGCGTTATACTTGCCACCTTTGCTTGGTTAATCTGGACAAAGCTGTTCAATTACATTGAGACCAACTATGGCAGATGTCTGGGTACTCGCGACATTCACATGCAGTCCAAGGCAAAATGTCTGCAATCAGGTAGATTTTGGAGTGGCCTTGATATATCTGGACATACATTTATTTTAATTTATTCGAGTCTAATCCTTGCCGAAGAAGGATCCTCTTTAATAGGATGGGAGGGTATCAAGGATCTAATAATGCGAGAAGAACACACACGGTCTGTGCCGACTGAGAGTAGCACTGGTCCATTGCGTAATCTCTCAGATGGTGACCTGGGATTCTTGAAAAAGGCTCACCGCGCACTCACACCATATCTACGTGGTCTTTTTGTGGCAATGACATTACAGCAGCTGCTGTGGGATATCATGTTAGTATCAACAATGCTTTATTATCACATTATGATTGAGAAATTCCTGGGTGGCGCAGCTGCAGTCATTACGTGGTATATTACGTATAAATGGTGGTACAAGCTGCCCAGGATTGGCCTGCCAGCACCTGGTGATGGCCTCTTTAAATACAACGAGATAAAGACTAATCCGGAGATCAACACCAGGGTGAGACGCACCACACTGAACGGTAACAATCAACCAAGGTTTATGGGAATGCCGATCAGAACAATGCAAGAGTCCTCGGAATTGAATTCGTCATTCAGACAAGCAGATCTCGACACATCTGTTACAAGAGGGTAAAAACGTCCTCGATAAACTGATCACGAACTTTCACGCCGGCACTCTTGTCTCCTTGATACTAAGTGCAATTTGGTGATCGTACAGCATGGATCATCGGTTATATATAGGGACTGAATATTTTGAGAATATCCAAATAGAACTTATAATGCCTTATGATCTACGAAATTTCCATTTCTAGTAAACAATTAAAACGTTGCATCGGCACACGCGTGAGGAATATATAAAATGTATATATAATATTTAAATATGTGATTATAGGAAATATATAGGGCACTCTTATGTTTGATATAAATGTTGATTCGAATGTACGAATTGTAAAAACTAAAAATTCGTCTAAAATTTATGTATGGGTGGCTTCCTTTATTTTTTTCTACACGTAAGCAAAGGATTTCAGACACCGAGTATGTATTGGGATGTGGGTTTAATTAAGTTGATTTAAACTCGGAGTGCTTTTAAGTTCTCTACTTCGCTTTTAAATTATTCATAATTATAGGATGATAAACAGGAGTATGTGCCTGTTTGTTTCGGTTCTGGAATGTTATTAAGAACAAAAAAAAGACACATTATTTATTTAATCTGTATAGAGTTCAAAGTCTGTGTCTTTGATAACACTTTTGTTTTGTACTTACTATTTAATAAAGACAGTTGTTAACAAAGCGTTCGTTTTTCTTAAGTTACAGATTGTTTATGACATGAAATTAACATAGAGTTTATATGCCATGCTATATTTATATACGGAAGAAAAGTACAAAATATATAGTTCTTATTATGAAATCTTTCTTCCTCATGCATAGTACAATCACTATATTTGAGAGAACATTCTCTGTTATTTGTAAAATTATTCTTCCGCATTGTTAGACGAAAGATCGTCTAATATCGCAGGTCATCACTTATCATCTTCATCGAATGCTTTTAACTTGGCAATAATACAACCATGTTCTGAATTGTGTCGTAAAAAATAATTTAGAAAAAGAAATTTTAGTATATCGTGAAAATAGAACAGATATATAACTTGCAAAATTTATTCTTTTGTTATAGACTGAACCTCCTTATCCATTAATGAAAAATACATTTCTGATCAATTACTACTAGCTAATATTGACAAAATCAACTTCTGCTTACTTTACGGAAAGTAGCATTAATTTAGCAGCATTGTGCATAATAATTGTAACAAAATGAATGTTGCTGATTTCATCTACGAGTACAATTGTAGAATAATTTTCATATTTGGCAACATAGAGATCTTCGATAATCTCCACTTATAGATGTTTAATATGTTAATATTAGAATAAAAATAAAGTACAAAATAGATATTTGTACAGACACGATAATTTACATCGGTTAATATCATTTCCCAAAGTGAGTCTTCTGCTTTTTGTTTAAAAAAAAAAAAAATGGTAACACATCGCGTGATTATATTCCTTACACGCATATGTGCTCTAACGAAATATAATTCATTAATTATTAATTAACACTATTAATAATTAATTATATATATCTGCACTTCAGATCCAAGATGTCATAACTTCCTCTAGTTATGTATAATATATTTCTTGTGTTTTACATTTTACATCAAAATAATCACTCGAGTGCTATTAAAACAAAATCACGGTGAGACTGTACAATACCGACAATTACGTTAAAGCATCTATCTAAGAAAAAAGAAGTCTAGTGAAGAAATAAAATGTAAATAATAGCATCTACCTTGTATTGTAAAAATGAAAACTTATACATGTATATCACCACAATCTAACAGGCCTCACATATTTCGTTATTTCATGATGGTGATGATGGCAGCTAAATTATACAGTGTACTTAGATAAACATTTAATACATACTTATTTATCAGCACTCACGAACAGAAATCGAATACCAAGATAATTTCGTTAGCAACTGTATACCGATAATGTATTTTTCTATTTTTATAAAACTTCAGTTACAGGTTTAGATCGATATAATCATTAAAAATGTGATATAAGAGAGTTTCGTAATATCAGTATATATGTAATACCGTATTACATATCGATATTATAATTATAATATTAAATACATTTTACAAAAAGATTACAAAAAAGAAAATTGAAAGCTTTACAATTAATTACAATTATACCATTATTTATCTTTTATCAATTGAAACTAATAAACTGTAATTTCAGTGAGTTTAGTTGCCATCAATAAGTATGATACATCGTTGAACATCTTTTTCATAAAATATATATCACAGCATACTACAAATCTATTTAATTGAATAACACTAGTTTTCCCGAAAAGTTATTTCTATATCGGTATACATATGTTATATCGAAATTTATACCAATTTCTTTCGTTTACATTTATATGTTGCATATATTTATTATATCGTTTTCTCAATCCCTGTTCACGAAGAGCGTATCGCTGTCGTTAATCGAGTCGAATTAAACCTTCGACCTTTTACGCGCGATCGCATCTTCCACGGCTTTTAGTTGTTTCAATAATTCTTCGCGTCGCGAGCTCGCCTTCTTAGCGGCTTTAGCTGCCGCCGCGGCTACTTGCGCTTTGTTGTCGATTAACGGCGGTGACTCAATACCACGCTTTTTACCTGCCATAAGTGCACTACGGTCGACCTTTTTTACGGCTGTAGCGTTGCTCGTGGGCTTTAGCGTTAACTTAATCTGTTGCTTCGCGCCGCTTATCTTCAAAGCGTCGATGCCTTTGGAATCTTTGCGGATCGGCGGTGTCGAACCCTTTCTTCTACGCGTCCCGCTGGAGGACGACGAATAACTCGATTCGCTAGAGTCGCTACTACTTCCACTGCTCTCCGATCCCGAACTACTATGAGACGATCTGAAACGTATTATTTTTCCTTTCCTTTTTTTCTTTATCTTTATACAATATTAATAAATAACACAAACCAAGAAGTATTTTCTAAGATTAGATTCGTTATTGTCGAATGAGTTTATAATACTGACTTTGTTATATTATCAAAATAAGTTTTTTAAAATTTTGTAGCGGATTACACGTATATTAGTGCAAGAATTAGTAAGAATCTCTAAAATCATTGAGACTTTTTTTAAAGTTATACCTTTCATTTTCAATTTAATTATTTAATTAATAAGAGTCATCTCTTTTTACCTAGATCTAGAACGACTTTTAATGATTTTAGCCACAGCAGCTGCAGCCATAGCAGCCTTTTGCTCCCTGGCTTTTTCATGATGACGATGAGACGATAGTGGACTTGGGGCAGGTGGATTCAGTCCGGCCCTTCGATGCAGCGTGCCCGTTGGAGAGATAGAACCTTTGGGTGGACGAGGAGAGGGAGCGGGAGGATTCATTAGCATAGCACCTCGTTGAGGCGTGGCTGCAGGGACAGCCGGAGGATTCAAAGGAGGTGGAGTAAGAACAGTGGTCTTGCCTTTACCAGTAGACCGAGTTCTAGTCGGAGGGGAAGGTGAACGAGACCTGGATAGGGAGTCGTAAGAACTGTAGCTAGAACGACTGGAGCTACGGCTAGAACTAAAAAGACGATACTCCAATACGTTTTTATACATATAACAAAGTAGCACGATAAACACTTTGGAAAAAATGCAACAATGCATTCTCGACTATCTTCATTTTCTCTTTGTCTCTTCATAGGAGAAATATTATTGAATGTATTTTCGATAAGTCATCTTCAGATCTTCCGAAAATTTCTATATATAAAGCGCTCTTTTGTAAGACTTTAACATTATCAATCGCATATGAATATGAGTAATACCTCGTTGATGAATACGAAGAACCAGAAGAATAAGACTGCCGCCGAGGTTGTCGGCGAGACGATGTGTTGCGGCGCATAGTGCTCGGGGATTTGCGTCGCATCCACGGATCCGCCCATTCGTCACTTCTACTCTTTTCAATAGGAGGTGGTTCTTCCTCTCGCCAAGGTTTCGATGGAGGGATACGTTCTACAATGACTTCCCGTGACGGCCGCTTATGCTTCTTTTCATATTTTTCGTAATAATCACGTTCTCTATCGCGTTCACGATCTCGTTCTCTCTCGCGTTCGCGGTGGTGAGGTGGCGGAGAAACCGAATGTGCACCACGAGGAATCGCATGATAATCAAAACGATCCCGATACTCGCGTGACTCTTTGTAGTGTACTCGCCTAGTTAAAAAAAAATTGAAAATAGATTTGATTGCAAAGCATTTCAGGAGGACTGATAATATACAATGCAGAAATAATTCTCTTTTTTAGTTAGGACTTGGCCATAAACGACTATTTCGTTATCTTACCTATAATAATCGGTTGATGCGGACGGAGGAGGATAATACCCTTCGGGTTCATCAACGTATCTTTCTGGCGTTAATCTAGAAGATGATACTCGACGTGGTGCTTCTCGTTGTGGCCATCTTTCGACTGGCGGCTCAGGACTAGCAGCTCTCACATAGTATCCCGCTTCTCTGTCCAGTTCATCCTGTCCCAAACTCAAATTCATTTTCTTTTCTTCGAAATCCATATCCGATTCTTTGCGTTTATTGGCTTTTCGCATCATCTAGATAATCGGGCGAGAAAATATCTTCTTTAAAACTTGATTACGCATTTTAGATTAAAGACTTGCTTATAAAACATTACAGATGCGACATGCATAGTACCATGCATAACAATATCTTCTTTCATCCAACTTACTTCCTTGGCATGACGCAAACCGCGTTCCCAAGCAGATTCAGTCGGTGTTTCCTCCACCTTAGGTGCATGTGTAGGAGCACCGTAACCGGGTATCGGCGGTCGCATACTCGGTCTCTCGATGTGGGATCTATATTCGTGTGACGCGGCAGCGTGTGGCGGATATGCCATAGGCCTCACCATATCGAACATAGTATAGTTACCTTTGTCTGTCACACCTGGATGCAAAAATCTACAACTAACGCCCCATGTACATTGGCCCCGACTATAGAAGCGACATACTGGTCTAGGTTCAGTCTCTTCGGGTCGTGCGTCATCTCCATCGCTAAGCTCTCCCTCTTCCAACTCAGACTCCTCTTTTTCTCCCTCTTCTCCTTCTTCCTTATCGTTTATTTCGCCAGATTCTTTTAATTTCGCCTTATCCTTATCTTTGTCTTTATCTTTGTCTTTGCTATCTTTCTCCGTATTCTCTTTAATCTCTTTTGTAGTAGGCACCTCAGCTTCACCTATAATTTTATCATATTTATAGTAAATGCAATTTTATACATGTCTCGTTTAACGAAACGTTTAAGAAGTAATTTTATTATAATGTTTAGAGAGCTCTGTACAATTTCGATATATAAAAATTGGATTTAAAATTCATGTATTTACCTTCGTCACGTTCGTCTTTCCATTGACCATCGGCTTCAAAATCTAGTTGCTCACTTTCTTCTGTCAAGCCAACTGGTGTAATTTTGTCTTCCTTTTTGATATTTTCTTCGTCCTTAGTGATTTCTTGTTTCGCAATTTGTTCTTGAACCTTGCCTACTTCTGTATTTTGATCAGTGGAGTCTTCAGGACCATCCATGCTCTCAAGATCCGATACATCGGACAAATCCTCGCTATGAGTCATAGGTTTAGATTTAGACATGGGCTCTGGTTCATCCTCAATGTCCCCATCCGAGATTTGTTCGCCGTCCAATTCGTTGTAAGAC